CCCCCGGGGCACCCAGAGGCAAGCGGTACCTTGATGGGGCCATTCTATCACCCCTCATGTGACAATTCCATAGACCCAGGAATGCCCCCGGGGCACCCAGAGGCAAGCGGTACCTTGATGGGGCCATTCTATCACCACTCATGTGACAATTCCATAGACCCAGGAATGCCCCCCGGGGCACCCAGAGGCAAGCGGTACCTTGATGGGGCCATTCTATCACCACTCATGTGACAATTCCATAGACCCAGGAATGCCCCCGGGGCACCCAGAGGCAAGCGGTACCTTGATGGGGCCATTCTATCACCACTCATGTGACAATTCCATAGACCCATGGAATGCCCCCGGGGCACCCAGAGGCAAGCGGTACCTTGATGGGGCCATTCTATCACCACTCATGTGACAATTCCATAGACCCAGGAATGCCCCCGGGGCACCTAGAGGCAAGCGGTACCTTGATGGGGCCATTCTATTACCCCTCATGTCACACTTCCATAGACCCAGGAATACCCCCGGGGCACCTAGAGGCAAGCGGTACCTTGATGGTGCCATCCTGGGCACCACTGACCAGATTCCTCCTCGAGGCGTCCAAAGCCAAACACGTCACCTCCTCCTGGCCGTGCGCATTATTCAGAAGAAGACATTTGTCACCAGTTTCCACATCCCACACCGCTATGCTAGAATCCTCGCTCGCCGTCACCACCTGCCACAAACATAAGAACAGGCAATCAACATCCCAAAACCATACGGTGTGGCCAACACCATGGAGTATTCAAGGAGATGAGATGTACGAGACGGAGTCACCCAGAGCATTGACAGAGTCACCCAGAGCATTGACAGAGTCACCCAGAGCATTGACAGAGTCACCCAGGGCATCGACAGAGTCACCCAGGGCATCGACAGAGTCACCCAGGGCATCGACAGAGTCACCCAGGGCATCGACAGAGTCACCCAGGGCATCGACAGAGTCACCCAGGGCATCGACAGAGTCACCCAGAGCATCGACAGAGTCACCCAGAGCATCGACAGAGTCACCCAGAGCATCGACAGAGTCACCCAGAGCATCGACAGAGTCACCCAGGGCATTGATAGTCAAGAAACTTCTTCATGACTTCCAGATTTTACTGGATATACAAAAATATGGGCAGTGCTAAAGTCAAATAATCACACACACACACAATCACACACACACACAATCACACACACAATCACACACACACACAATCACTCACAATCACACACAATCACTCACAATCACACACACACAATCACTCACAATCACACACAATCACACACACACACACACACACACAGGTTAAACTGGGTGCAGCCATGGCTTTATTCAACATTACCTACTATGCTACCTGATGGAAGAAACCAATGTACACCACCCACAGAGGATAGAGAGGTCTCATGTGACACCAGAGTCTCCTTATATCAGATCAGACCTGTACAAGACTGGACCACCTGATGGAAGAAACCAATGTACACCACCCACAGAGGATAGAGAGGTCTCATGTGACACCAGAGTCTCCTTGTATCAGATCAGACCTGTACAAGACTGGACCACCTGATGGAAGAAACCAATGTACACCACCCACAGACGAGAGAGAGGTCTCATGTGACACCAGAGTCTCCTTATATCAGATCAGACCTGTACAAGACTGGACCACCTGATGGAAGAAACCAATGTACACCACCCACAGAGGAGAGAGAGGTCTCATGTGACACCAGAGTCTCCTTGTATCAGATCAGACCTGTACAAGACTGGACCACCTGATGGAAGAAACCAATGTACACCACCCACAGACGAGAGAGAGGTCTCATGTGACACCAGAGTCTCCTTGTATCAGATCAGACCTGTACAAGACTGGACCACCTGATGGAAGAAACCAATGTACACCACCCACAGACGAGAGAGAGGTCTCATGTGACACCAGAGTCTCCTTGTATCAGATCAGACCTGTACAAGACTGGACCACCTGATGGAAGAAACCAATGTACACCACCCACAGACGAGAGAGAGGTCTCATGTGACACCAGAGTCTCCTTGTATCAGATCAGACCTGTACAAGACTGGACCACCTGATGGAAGAAACCAATGTACACCACCCACAGACGAGAGAGAGGTCTCATGTGACACCAGAGTCTCCTTGTATCAGATCAGACCTGTACAAGACTGGACCACCTGATGGAAGAAACCAATGTACACCACCCACAGACGAGAGAGAGGTCTCATGTGACACCAGAGTCTCCTTGTATCAGATCAGACCTGTACAAGACTGGACCACCTGATGGAAGAAACCAATGTACACCACCCACAGACGAGAGAGAGGTCTCATGTGACACCAGAGTCTCCTTGTATCAGATCAGACCTGTACAAGACTGGACCACCTGATGGAAGAAACCAATGTACACCACCCACAGACGAGAGAGAGGTCTCATGTGACACCAGAGTCTCCTTGTATCAGGAGATCAGACCTGTAGAAGATTGGCTCACCTGATGGAAGAAACCATTGTACAGGACAGCTGATAGAGGTGCCTCATGTGTAACTATAATGTCATCATTAGGGTTGATCTGGGCCAGTTTCAGCATCGCAATGTAATTGCTGTAAGAGACGAGCAAGCAGTTGGAAGGCGATGGTACCAGGAGGAAAGGAAAGTGTCCTTGTTCCTGAATCCTTCCAGGCTGGATGCATGGGTACTTCAGAACCAGCGTCTGTAGGCAGCTGTGTGAGGAGATGTCCCAGACCTTCAGGACCTATGGAGAGATGGGACACAAACTGTAATACATAGATTCACATACATACACACGCATGTGTCTCTTTATACTTACGGAGTCTTTTGAGTAGCTGAATATTTGCCTGAGAGGTTCATATATGACCACATCAAGAATGGGCATAGCATGCTCTGACAAGACTGCCGTAGGGTGGCTAGGAACGTACTGGTTCCAGAGTCTGACGCTGTGATCCAGGCCACCAGTGACCAGAAGGTTCATGGCCTTGCAGTAGTCAAAGCACTGAACACCCTGGACAAAAACAACAGGTTACGTTATAAAATGACTAACAACCAAAATACAATAGAAGAAGTGGTGTAAACTCCACCAACCTTACTCATCTTCCAGGTGTAAACTCTCCCTTGTCCAGCAATGTCCATGATGACCAGCGAGGTCTGAGAACTGCCAGATGCTGAAATGATGAGATCCTGACCAGGGACGTACATAAGTCTGGTTACAGGTTCGGAGTGGATATTAGGGATGGACTGGTAGCTAAAGAAGCTGCTATGATGTCCCAGTTCCTGCAAACAACAACAAGAGCAGCAATCATCTGGATCCTTTAATAGGATTAGTTGTACTATGCTCTGGATCTGTGTCATCGGCACATACAATACATGGTCAGATATTCCTGGACAATGACTTCATCTACAATAAGATCTATGGTGCTTCCGGGATGCAGAGCTCCTGGATTGGGAGTTCAGGACATCAGACGGTAGGGAATTGTCATTTTCTAGCTTCATCTGCCGTCAATGCTCCTCACCTGCATGTAGATCTTCTCAGGTCCCGGCTGCTGGCTGAATGATTTCTCATAGAGTCCAGAGTTTGGTTTTAGCAGCCACAAGAGGCTAACTCCGCCCTTCTCATCCCCCCACAGGAGCAGAGAGGAGCTTCCAGGGGCCTGAGGAAAGAAGATCCCCCATCAGGTAACCTCAGAATAGAGAATGTTACACCCAGCACCAAGACAAACCCAACTGGATGCTACCTTGTGCCAATACGACAAGCAGGTGGGGACGTGCTGCAAAGCTGAGGAGAAAAAGACGTGCAATCATGAGGACCCATTCTAATGTATGGCGAGTCCATAATGACAGCAATCCAAGGGTCACATGATCTCAGTGTATATACACACCTGTGGGCAATCTAAGGGTCACATGATCTCAGTGTATATACACACCTGTGGGCAATCTAAGGGTCACATGATCTCAGTGTATATATACACCTGTGTGTGCAATCTAAGGGTCACATGATCTCAGTGTATATACACACCTGTGTGCAATCTAAGGGTCACATGATCTCAGTGTATATACACACCTGTGGGCAATCTAAGGGTCACATGATCTCAGTGTATTTACACACCTGTGGGCAATCTAAGGGTCACATGATCTCAGCATATATATACACCTGTGGGCAATCTAAGGGTCACATGATCTCAGTATATACACACCTGTGGGCAATCTAAGGGTCACATGATCTTAGTGTATATATACACCCGTGGGCAATCTAAGGGTCACATGATCTCAGCATATATATACACCTGTGGGCAATCCAAGGGTCACATGATCTCGGGATATATATATACACCTGTCTGCGTAATCTAAGGGTCACATGATCTCAGTGTATATATACACCTGTGTGCAATCTAAAGGTGACATGATCTCAGTGTATATATACACCTGTGTGGGCAATCTAAGGGTCACATGATCTCAGTGTATATACACACCTGTGTGCAATCTAAAGGTGACATGATCTCGGGATATATATATACACCTGTCTGCGTAATCTAAGGGTCACATGATCTCAGTGTATATATACACCTGTCTGCGTAATCTAAGGGTCACATGATCTCAGTGTATATATACACCTGTCTGCGTAATCTAAGGGTCACATGATCTCAGTGTATATATACACCTGTCTGCGTAATCTAAGGGTCACATGATCTCAGTGTATATATACACCTGTCTGCGTAATCTAAGGGTCACATGATCTCAGTGTATATATACACCTGTCTGCGTAATCTAAGGGTCACATGATCTCAGTGTATATATACACCTGTCTGCGTAATCTAAGGGTCACATGATCTCAGTGTATATATACACCTGTCTGCGTAATCTAAGGGTCACATGATCTCAGTGTATATATACACCTGTCTGCGTAATCTAAGGGTCACATGATCTCAGTGTATATATACACCTGTCTGCGTAATCTAAGGGTCACATGATCTCAGTGTATATATACACCTGTCTGCGTAATCTAAGGGTCACATGATCTCAGTGTATATATACACCTGTCTGCGTAATCTAAGGGTCACATGATCTCAGTGTATATATACACCTGTCTGCGTAATCTAAGGGTCACATGATCTCAGTGTATATATACACCTGTCTGCGTAATCTAAGGGTCACATGATCTCAGTGTATATATACACCTGTCTGCGTAATCTAAGGGTCACATGATCTCAGTGTATATATACACCTGTCTGCGTAATCTAAGGGTCACATGATCTCAGTGTATATATACACCTGTCTGCGTAATCTAAGGGTCACATGATCTCAGTGTATATATACACCTGTCTGCGTAATCTAAGGGTCACATGATCTCAGTGTATATATACACCTGTCTGCGTAATCTAAGGGTCACATGATCTCAGTGTATATATACACCTGTCTGCGTAATCTAAGGGTCACATGATCTCAGTGTATATATACACCTGTGTGGGCAATCTAAGGGTCACATGATCTCGGGATATATACACACACCTGTTCTGAAAGGCCAAAGCCCAGACTTCAATCCAATTGAGACTCTGTGGCATGACTTAACGATCGCTGTACACCAGTGAAACCCGTCCAACTTGTAGAAGCTTGAATAGTTTTGCCTTGAAGAATGGGAAGAAATCCGGTGGCTGGATGTGCCGAGCTTATAAAGACCCCAAGAGACTTCAAAAGGTGGCTCCACAAAGTATTGACTTGGGGGGGGGGGGGAAGAGTTACGCCCACTAACG